GAGGGTCAAGTGTGGACAACCACACTCTGGCTTCGGTCACCGGCTTGAGGAGAGGGGAATGAAAGGAGGATCAGCGCGACGAGTAAACTAAATACATTATTGTGGTGGTTTGTACGATGTTGCTGTGATAACCTTCTTAAAATACAATACAAAATTGTATTTCTTTAGCGCCTTTCACGTCGGGAAGACGTCTCAAGATGCTGGACAGGGAATTTGGACCTGGGCTGTTCTAGGGTAGATCAAGGTTTGACGTATGTTTTCTGCGTGAGGAGAAAAGCACCTTTTAAAAAAACGGTTTGATTTTTGCTTTGGGGAAATCATGCAGGTTTTCAAACCAGCCTTGTGAAATGCATGATTATGACTCTGCTTTTCTTTACAATGATGTTGGGGGAAGGGGAAAGAGGAGGATAGGATTGACGTCTGGTGGGTTTCATGCGCGTCCCGGGCAAACACAAAGAGAGGAAACAGACACAGGAACAATTTACAAAGTTTCTCAGCACTCGAGCGAGAGAAGACTTACTGGCAACCCACAGTAAACAGAGAGCGTGACATTAAGCCTATCAAATGCTTCAATAAAACAGACTCCGCTGGACTCTTTGGGGGTCTGGGAAATGAAAGTGGTGGCAGTCTGGAGTTGGACACAGGGCAACCATTGGTGCAGCCTCTTCTCAAGAGTCCGTAACATTCAGTGGGGCTGTGAAATATAACTGTTGAGCTTGTGTCTGTTGCTTTGCCGCACGTTACCCCTCTCTCAAACTCTCCACACAGGGTACAATAGGAACCAGGGACCTTACAAGCAACACATCAGGGAGTCATCTGAAGAAACAATATCAAACAGCCATTTAAAAGGCAGTTGCTATATCGCTCGTTTAACAGGAGTCATGGCAATCGGCAGAAACTTTGAGACACGCATTTCAAATTTTAGCCTCAGAGGACGTCTGTGCGGGCTGTGGTGGGGGGGGGAAGGTGTGAAGGGAGCTGCCAGTTTATTGCAATCATTTTCCTTTTAGAACGAAATAACAAGTACTATTAAAACATGAAAACACTCAACACTACAACTCAGAGCACCCACCCTTTGTCAAAGAATTAAACATGTGCAAACTCTTCCTTCACTTTCAAAAGAAGACAACTGTATGATCAATACAAAGCAGACCTGAGCAGGAGTGTATTCTTTGAAGAGTTCTTAGGAAACGTCTCAAAGTATTTAATATACTGTGCCATGGCTGGATATTTGTAGACAAATTAGATGGCAAATTTGTTCGCAGCAACGACTCAGAAACAGCTATGAAATGAATGAACAATTTTATCAGGGCAAAGGATGAATTGCCATCTATTTGCCATTGTCGGATGTTGGTTTAACCCACTATGAATTTCTAGCATTTCATATTTCCAGCATTTGCAGCTTACTTTCCCAATAGCTGTTCACGGTCGAGGGGAGCTAAGATACACACACAATAACTGTAGACACAAGTGCAACCTGTCTCAGACAGCGTTCTGGGCTGCGGGAGGATCCCCAGTACACACAGATCTGAGGTGACACTATAGCAAACTGTCTTTACCTGATACAAGACTGGTGAAGCACGGCTAATTAGGCTGTTAATTTGTAAAGTCAAATCTCGCAACTTCATTGCGAAAAACACACAAGCACCCGAGGGAGTAGCCAAGCTATTTCAACCTTGATGTCAGTATATCCCACGGTGTTTGGGATCACATCCATGCAGCAGCTGTGAAAACTCTGAGGCTCATTAGTCAATAAAAGTACTCTGGCTTGTCTTCTCATTGATAGCGTTAGTGAATCGCTAAGATAAAACAAATAGAGATGAAGCTGAGTATTTTTTTTAAAAAACACTCATTTTTTTTCCAAAATACACCAATGCTCAGCCCCTCTGTGCCCATCTTAATGGAACCTTTCCTCTTCACCTCATCTCCAGCTAAATTAGATTCAAATGAATTTCTCCGAACAATATCTTCCAGGTCTCTTCACCGAAAATGTGTGCCATGATTATACTGCACTGAACAGTGAAGAGAATGTTTAATTAAGTTTAACATACATGTGAGTGGCAACTCCGTAGCGACTGATTTCAGTGCAAACTCGCTTACCACAGTGCTCATCTGTGCTGAGCACTGCTAGGCTAGAAAGTCCCAAGAGCCGAGCATAACATCCCACCAGGGACAGAACAAGGAGCTTCCAAACTGCAGAACTCTGATCTCTGTGGTGGGCTCTATTATGGTTTAGCGAAGCATCCTTATTGATATGATACAAATCTCCACTCTCTCATTTATGCACGGTTGTGTGAATGATGGAGTTAAGTAAACAATTCCCCCTCCACAAATCCCTGCCTGATAACCTCTTTGCATTTCTGTCCTATTAGATTCACGAAGCTCTATAGCAAGGGCCTCAGCAAAAGAGCACATTTAAGATCGCTACTGAGGAGCCAGTGGCTGGGACCTTTACTGCAAAGCCACCAGCCACAATAACTGCCTCAAATTCAAAGTACATTCCCTGCAATTATGAAATGAAAATACAACTCATCTCATTGTCTTTCCTTATTCCTGCCTGCCATTCTACAGTTATTGGCACTTCGACATAATTATCAATCCTTGCAATGGTCACAGCAAGCAACTCACTCCTGTGCTATTCTGATAGCTTTTACCATCAGGAGAGCCAGATGCACCACTGACAATCACATGAACATTATGGTGTCGAACTCGTACCGAGCAAAGCTCTGCCTTCCTATTCTCAAAAGCAGAGTATTGCTCTCCTCTTCCTCAATTCACTTCAAACTGTATTTAGGTTCCAGTCTTCTGGATACTTGCACTTACCAAATATAATTTTGTTGCTGTTGTTATTGGAACACAATTAAATGGGGGTGGACTCCATCAAATTCACTGCTTTTCAATCTTCATCCCCAAGGTAATTTCCTGAGCACTTCCTAATCCCTTCTGCCTCCTTCCCAAATCCAGGACTTTGCTCTGACCCACAGTAGAGGGCTTCAATGTAGAATGGTAGAAATTACAGCACACACATGGGCGTTGGGCCCATTGCCCATTGCCCCTATCTTCCCCCGAGCTCTGTGCTCTGATTATATTGTTCTTCCCCAGTATCCTTTTTGTTATTTCTGATCAAATGTATGTTAAAATCTCTTTTAAATGTTGTGCTCTTGGCACCAACAGCCTCCTGTGACAAAGCATTGCATCTTCTGATCACCTTCAGGGTGNAAAAATATCCTGTAACCTCTGCTTCAACTCTTCCCATAACAATCTACAGTTTATGCCTCTCTTCAATCTCCCCTGCTACTGATTCACCAATCATCGGGAATAACTTTCCCGCTCCTATCCTCTCTCACTTGTCACCTGAATGCAAATGTTATCATGATATGAATAAATTGATACACCCACTACCCTTGACGTTACATCCTGTAAATCACTGAGAGACAATCTCCTGAACGTGAAAGGGTCCATATCAAATGCAAGGATTATTATTGTAATTTAATAAGCGACATAAAACCAACGTGAATAGAGCTATCATTATTTTCACTTAAATAAAACACAGAAGGAATTCACGTCTCTCAAACAAAATTGCATTTGTTCGAGGGCTGTACAAGGGAGGAAAATGATCAGAAAACCTCGCTGTTTAGCGATCTGATTCTTGTATATTGCAGGTTTTGTTATATCAATTATCAAGTCGTTCTTCATCTCATCCCGAAGTCCCTGATTCAACATTCCACTTTTTACTACCTCACCTTCCTCTCATCACTCATTTTGACAGAGCTCGATGTGCCTGGACACACATTCAATCTAGAAAAACTTTTACGAACCTCTCAAAGATTTATAATGGCCTTGTTGCGTAGGTACGCTATTCTATGACGATGCTCGCTGTTTGGAGTGGATGCTGTTAAAGGAGGGGAGATGCACTCTCACGACAGAATCACAGGAATAAATGTGCAGCTGGCAGAAAATGGAAATGAAATCTGTCTGAAAGCAAATATTTCACCCGCGTAATAAAATTCAAACATTCCATTCCAATCTCCTCCATTAAATGAAAATCATGACCAAACCATAAACATTCTCAGTAAAAAGTTCTGCACTCCGGAGGATTTTATTTTCTCCAAACAGTTGCTGAATTCATTTGAAGCTGTGATCTCTCACTGTACTCTGGCAGCAGCAACACTGCATCTTGCCTTGAGAAACGTCAAAAGGTTTCACATTGGGGCTCAACACAAGGGTGACCAAGTCAGAAGGTCATCGGTTCAAGACTCATGTTGGGACTTGAAACTCATAGCCCACCACCCCTTGCAGTGCTGAGGGTGTACTGCATTGTTAGAGGTGCTATCCTTTGGATGAGACTTCAGTTAAACTGAGGTCCCACTTGCCTGCTCAGATGGATGTTAAAGATCCTATGGCACTACCCAAAAGGAGAAGGGAGTTTCCCCCCAGGGCCTGGTCAACAATCCCCCGAATAAAATTAGTTATTTGCTTAATGGCTGTTTGTGGGATATTGCTGTGTGCAAAATTGGCTGCCGCGTTTGTCTACAAATGCACAATCACTCCACTTCACAGTGGTAGAAGCCCTCTGAATATAAACAATCTGGCACTATTATTAGAAGTACAGAGAGATAATAATATAATAATCCTTGTAATAGTGCCCATAGCAAATATGGTGCCTTATCATGTCACCAAAATGTCTCAAAGCATTTCATAGGATGTACTGTAAAGTGGGACTGTATTTTGTTGGCGAATGCGCAAGTCGATTCGTGCACATCAATTTCCCACAAACAGCCAATGAAGTGAATGACCAATTTTATTAGGGGGATTGTCGACCAGGACACCTGGAGAAAATCCCTTCTCTTTTCAAATAATGCTGTGGGACATTTAATGTCCACCTGAATAAGCAGACAGGACCACGTTTTAATGTTTCAACCAAAGGATGCAATGTGCACAGACACGCATGGAGCTCCAACCTACAGGAAATACGTGTATAAGGATTGTTTTAAGTCTACCTTTCTCTCTTTGTGAAGTTCTTCTTCTTTCCGTACTGCATCCAAGTCGGTGACTCCTCGGCTGAAATCGGTCACTGTTCCGTCAGGCAGGGGTGTGTCAACAGCGTCTATATCGGTCTCCTCTGAGGTCTCCTTTTCTGCCCCCGTCAGCTGCCGAGCTGATCCAATTAAAAAAAAAGATAAGGCATTAGCAAATTCTGGGAAAGAACAGTTTAAGGAGCTACGAGTTTGGCAGAGTTCAGATTTCAAGACACGTTGCCAGAAGGCTCCCTTTTGCGATTAAATCCACTTAGAGAAAATACGCAACTCTCCTGTCCTACTGTCACTGGGAGGACTCTAGTGGATGTGTGGAATAAGCAGATGATTGACTGAGACATTGTTTCAGGACTGAGAGAGAAACAGCAGACAGAGATCTGTGAAGTCACTCTGTGGTCCGAGGAGCAGAAACCCCGACACCTAACCGTCTCTGACAATTTCTAAACTTTGAGATGCTTAAAAAATGCTTTGCATTTTGAAAGAAGGACGACCATTGTTGTATCATTGTGTGTTGTAGATGGTTCAAATTATTTCTCCCTTCACTGACGACAACAGAAAGACACTGTGTCCATGAGAGACATTCCCACTTCCATTACTAGATGCCATTATCCACACACTGGGATGTTTTGTAACTAAAAATTCCATCAAGTGCTGCTCGCTCTCCAAAACACTGATTTCTCGTTTAATTACATATAAATCAAGACTCAGTTCAAGGCACTGGAGCAGATAAATATTACTGGTTTACAATTTTGTCATTCAATCTAAAAGGTCATAAAGCAGATCGATTGCTTGATAAAAATGCGTGCATTTAAAAATTGCCAGATAGGAAGATGAGCTTCTGTTAAGAAGCGCTGTGACCGTACATTTCTTCACAATTTCAGAAACTTTATGTTACTGAATGTCTTTTTGACCTGCTTATTCCCCACTCCATCACACGCTGCCTCCGCTCGGCTAGCTCCGGCCTCCTGCATGTCCCTCGTCTCCTCCATCAGTGGCCGTGCTTACAACCACTACGCCCCAAAACTCTGAACTCTCTCCCTCAATTCCTCAGCTCTGAATCCTCCTTCCCCATTTTCAGATCATGCCTCAAGACCTTCCTTTTCGACAGTGCCGAAGGTCACCTCCCCCTGGATTGGCTTCAGGTCACTGTCAAGCGCTGCAAGAAGCTACCCTACGTGAAGGACGCGACATATAAATGCAAGTTATTGTTGTTTTTAATTAAAAAAAGATCTGATAGCCAGACGTTCATTTAGTTTATGTGAAGGTCAGATATGGTGGGGGAAAGTGAATGTTAACAATGCTTAATGTTATGAACAGTGCATTGCTAATTTTTTTCCTTTTGTCCTCTCCTGAAAGTATTTTGTTTGACTCATTTTAACTTTAGGAGGAAATGGCTGCATTGGCAGGAGGCACTGTTGTCTATATTGGCAAGGCGGGACGGGGTGGGGGTGCACTGGAGAAATCACAGCTGATTGCAATTCTAATTTGGGTTAGGGCTAGAATTTTGCAGGGGCATCTAGATAGCAATCATCATCATGATCCCAGCCTGATTTTCCCCATCTCCCCAGTCCAAGGGCACTGAGGTCAACTGTGGTGTTCCAATTGTTGAGATCAACAAACACAGCTCTGAGCTGGATTCGAACCCACACCTTAGTTCTGCACCAGGTGGAGCTTTGATCCAATAGATCATTTGCTATTTAGCATTAGGGAGCAAGATTAGAACCGCATGTTATAGAGCGAGCTCCTGATCGTAGCCATTATGGCTGGCACCAAGACAGAGATCCTAGAACAGCCCCAAAACTCACTCACACATGTCCTAGCAGCCTGTTACAAAGCTGCATTGCCAGAGGCACAGTTGAGCAGAAGTAAAACTGAAATATAATAAGCAAGATGGAAAAGTGAATTACGAGAAGATGTTATATTGCCTTAGTAACCAGTATGTTGGTCATCAAAAAGGTACGTCTATTTATGTGAAAGACGCTGTATATCATCATTATTATTATTATGCAGCTTTGGACTAAAATTGGCTAATTGGAAATTGTCAACACATTTGTAACACACAACAACAAGAATTTGCATTCATATAATGGGCTCCAAGCGGATAGCGTCTCAGAGCGCTGAGCTTACAACCAATTTTTTTAAATGTAACTTTGTAATGATATTTGATAATGTACAGAAAGACTGTGGTGTCCGAATGTAACTCAGAATAAGTTCGATTAGTATTAGGAGCAGCTGAAAGAAGTGATGTATGATATTGACACTGGCTGGACTCCAGCAAGTCAGTAAACAAGGCATTAGCCCGTCCGAATGAATAAACAGATAAGCATCTGGACAGGTAGGACTTAGTGTATCAATCAGCTGCCTATGTGTACTGTTTGTACACCCCAAGGTACCTAGCAGTAAGTAGGAACCAGGTTGTTAGTCGACTGGCAGATCGCTTTTCTGGGGATAATAATCGCTTCNAAAAAAAAGATTGTTCACTTGAATCCACGACTGTTTATGGGACACTGCTGTGTGTAATTGGCTGCCGAGTTTCGCCTACAAAATATACAGTCAATTCACTTTACAGCATATTCTGTGAAGTGCTTTGAAATGTCTCCAAGACATGATAAGGCACTATATCAAATGCAAGGTTTATTATTATTAAGGTAGCAATGCTGATAACCTTGGGAGACAGTATATTAGATCCAATTGTGGCTATTTACCTACAATAGATCTAGGGGTATTGAAATAGATAGCAACCAGAGACCCTAAATCACCTATTAAAACATTCTGCCTTAAAATTTAAGTTGGCGCAGAATTATGGAAGATCTTTGGATTTTCGCATCTCTTAAAAAAGAATCCTCTTCCAAAGTAATAATAATCCTTGCATTTGAGACAGAATTGACGTACTTTTCACAGTTCCGCTCCCCCTAAAGTGTTAAAGGCAAACTTGTCCGACTGTGTGAATTTTGGGACTCTCTCTGAATAGGTTCAGAGCAGCTCAGATCATTGAACAAAGAGCTCAGAGAACTCAAATTTGTTCTCAATAGAAGTAAAAAAAGATCAAAAGGGAAATACATTCCAAGCATTTGAAATTATGAAAGGAAACTAATCAATTAAAAACTGATAAGGTTTTTTATTTGCGTGTACCTAGAGGCCATGATTATACGCTTAGGAAATCACCAAGGACTTGTAAGCTACAGAATAAAATGGAACTAAATGCCACCAGTTCAATCTTTTAACATTTCCATTTTTTTTTGCAGAATGTTACATTGATTTACAAAGCTGTATGCAGTTTCTACGGCATTTTCAGGAGCTTATGGGAAATGAATGAATCTGTTGGCTCTATCAGATTCCATCGGTTGTTTTTTTTCACACTCGAGAATCAGGGTGTTCAGTTGGTGGGGAAAACAATAGAGGACAGAACCCTCAATGGCCTGATCCATCTTACTTAGGATTCCAAGTGATCCACAGTGGATTAAATCTCCATCTTCCCTTGTGTCAACCAGCTTTTCTCTATGTAAAGATGAGCATGAGTGTTTTGGGATGGGGACTCTGGGTGAGGAGAACAAACTCGATAACAAAAATAATCTTTGCATTTGATACAGTGCCTTTCACACTGGGAGGCCGTCTCAACTCAAACGCTTCATAAGATTCACCGTAAAATGTATTAGTGGCTGTATTCTTTGCAGGCGAAAGCGGCATCCAATTTGTGCACAGCAATATCTCACAAACTACCTTAATAATCCATGAAATGAATGGCCGATTTGATCTGAAGACAAAACATTATCTGGAGGAATGGGAGAAAGTTCTCTTTACTTTTCAATCAGTGTCATGGGATCTTTCAATGCATACCACAACAGGTTTGAACACATAGCTAGGAAGACACTTGCTTAATTAGGTTTCCTGGATTGGAGGAAACCTTCAGTACAGACAGACATAGAAGATTTTGAGAAAGAAATGGAATTTTTTTTATTAAAAAAGTTATTGTGGTACTAAAAGCACCATCCAGACAAGAATCCTAGACTGACGGTAGAATTATAGATCGATATGGGTTGTTTTGAGTGTTGAGTCCAGGCTTTACTCGGTTATCTTTCTGACACTCAAGATTAATTTGAGAGCCCAGTTCTCAGCTGCTCTACCCGACCCAAGCATCTTGCACAACAAAATTGTCTTACCTGAAACGTTTGTGCCTTCAGTATTTTCCTCACTTGCTTGGTCCTCCTGCCCATCCCCGTTTTGCTGGGTGTGCTGCAGACTCAGCTTGTGGCACACTTCGAAGGCCTGGCCGATAGTCCGCACTATCCGCATAGCTTGGCTCTGTGAAAGGGTTGACAAGAAAGAAATTTATATCTCAAGAAGAAACTCAGAATGAGATATAACTGGATGAGAGAGAATTAACATAAATAGAGTATATCTGATAGTAATAAAAATCCTTGCATTTGATATAGTGCCTGGGGACACCGAGAAGCTGCCCTGAGTGAAGGGCACTATAAAATGCAACTTTCTGTAGTTGTTGCCTTTCACGTCAGGTATTGCATCTCAAAGTGCTTTGCATGCTGTTATTCTAGTGTAGTGACTGTGTATTTTTCAGGCATGCGCACAACAATGTCCAACAAACCATGAATGATCAGTTTTATCAGGGGGATTGATGGCAAGGACACCATGACAATCTCTCTTCTCTTTTCAAATCGTGCCATGGGATCTTCAACATCCAACTGAACAGGCAGAAGGTACCTCGGCTTAATATCTTATCTGAAGGATGTAGTTTGTACAGACTCTACAGGAAAACCTGCACATGTATACAGAACCTCCCTCAATACAGCACATTCCTAGCACTACATTGGAGTGTCAACCTAGACTATACAAATTCAAAGTCCCAACATGGGGCTCGAACCAAAGACCTTCTGACTTAATAATAATAATAATAATCCTTGCATTTGATATAGTGCTTTTAACGTCGGAAGGACGTCCCAAAGCGCTTCACAGAACACACTGTAAAGTGAATTGACTGTATATTTGTGGGCGAACGCGGCAGCCAATTGTGCACAGCAATGTCCCACAAACAGTCGTAGATTGAAAATGACCAATTTATTATTGTTTTGGGTTTTGGAGGGATTATTATTAGGCTCTGTGTGGAGTAAGGAAACTTGCCCAAGGTTTCGCCCTGCCTGGAATTGAACTCAGGTCTCTCGCTTGCAAAGCGAGTGCTCTAACCACTGAGCTACAAGTCTCCACTGACTTAGTGGCAAGGGTGCTACCAACTGAGTCAGGCTGATACCATAGACTCTAAATGGAGTAAAATCTATATGATAAACCTGTATATGTCACCTTGTGGAAAGTGTGGGAATGTAACATCTTTGGGCAATCGCAAAAGTTACAGAATAAGCAAAGGCAATGAGACAAAACATGTTTTCGCATTTGGTGTAAGCTCAGCTTTGTTTTGGTTTCGCAACTATCAATGTATATGTTATTGCGCTAAGGAACCCGGGACCCATATCTCTTTTTATGAAAGAAACAGACATCCAATTATGGGAAAATGGAACATGTATAAAGGTCAGATGTTGTTTTTCTCTGGTGTGCAGTGTGGGGAGCAGTACCTTGGGAGAGTTGTTGCTACCGCTCTGCACCTCATATATATATGAAATAAAGCTTTTTGAATGTATATTGCACTGACTCCGTGTTGAGTTTTCAGGTCTTTAAGAGCAATCGCACATCGCAATCTGGGTTTAACAACTTCTCAATGAGATTCGGGGGTAAGTGATGTGAGAAATCTAAAATAGTAGGTTTATGCGGGATAAAAACAATTGAGCCTATATTGAATGATGACTAGAAATTGTACAGTGGACCTCCTCTGTCACCTTCCCCATCCCCACATTAAGGCATCTCAAAGCTCTTCGCAGGATTTCACTTGAAGTATAGTGACTGTATAGTTGTCGGCGAGTACCACAGTCAATTTATGGACAGCAATATCCCAGAGACGGTCAAATATTTCCCCTTTTCTCTCACTCCATGCCTGACCTGACTGGCTCATCACTGCTGCTGGCAACCCTTTGTCATCTTGCCTGAGTGATCACTGTTCATGTGTGAGCCTAAACAGTGAATGTTGCCAGAACATTCGACCATGAAGGACATCACGGCTGAGCCTGATCCCCAGCCCTCTAGTGTGAAACCAATATAAAACACCCCTTTGTCGAAACATGCTTTTTGTAGTGCTTCCAAAAGCAACCTACATATCTATTGCCAGCCTCCACTTCCAGTTTGTATTACAAGTTACTGTACAACAATTTGTATTTATATAGCGCCCTTCGTGTTGGGTAGTGTCCTGGAGCACTGTAGCAACATTATAACCACTAGATTTCATCTCTTAAGTAGAAACCAAGATTAATTTTGGAACAAAACTGCACTGTTGCGCCTGTAAATTTGTGGGTGAACACAGTAATTCAATTTGCGCACAGCAATATCCCACAATCCGTGAAGCCAATGACAAGTTTTTAGAACCGTAAAGACCAACAGCACCTTTACAAAAAGATTCTCCTGCCCACCCTGCTTGGGATCCACTTCCAGCTAGGGCACCCATGCTGCACTGTGAATGCGCTTTGGGGATGTCCTCCCAACATGAGAGACGCTATATACTGTAAATGCAAATTGCATTGTTTCAGAGATATCTCCTGGGAGGATGAAAGAAAGACTTGAATAACGTGCTTCCAAGCTGTTACATTTAGCTTACGTGCTTTAGGCCTCCCTTCACACATAACCTGCTCTCCGGGCCTCAGATGTCACCTGTCTGGGCTGACTTCCAATACAATGACGTTTCCTCGCTAGGATAATGGACGTCCTTGTGGTTGGGTGGGTGGTGAGTTTCAAGTTCCAGGCAAGAAATCACAAAACCTTTAACCAAACACTGCACACAGAGGGCAAAGCAATTTGGGAGAGGGAGTGGGGGGAGTTGTGAGTGAGGGTGAAGCAAGGGGTCACTCTTAAAATGCCAATCCCTCAGCTCTTCAGTTTTGCAACAGGCACAGGCTTATCTTGCAGTGGAGGACACAAGCCTCTTTCAGTAGGGCGTCTGGAGTCAGGTCACTGTAAACGGGAGTCTAGTATAGGCACTGCTTAGCCAGGGCATTGGGCACATTCCGTGGCATGTTCCTGTCTCCGGGAACACGTCCTCTCTCACGCTGATTGGAATTAGACTGGAATGTGCGCAGCACTTACACTTGCGGAACGCTTGAAATTACCTGCGATTTCTCATTCAGTGACACCTCCCCTTCTTGTTACAAGATGGACCAGTAATTCCTAACACAAAGTGCCAACAATAAAGGTTATCATGCCTCGGCGAGTGATTACACATTCCTGTCAGTCGCAGACTATGTATCACAAATGCCACAGGAAGTGAATGGGCTGGATTAAATCTCTGTTCTTGTTTACGACTAATTTACTTTTTTTTTTGCTTTCCTTCCTTTTTTAAAAAAAATTGTGAGATCCACGCATCGATAGAGAAAAAAAAAGGCAAATATTTAGCCTATCCCCACCCCCCTCCCCCATTTCATCTCAATACCTCAGGGTACTTCCCAAATGAATAACCTGTTTCTGATCAAATTCATGAAACTGCACGTTAATCCGTTGAAGGGTTTAAAAGAAAAATCCTCATAAAAAGTAAAATAAACAATAAAGTAAAATTTAAAAAAAATAAACAAACAATAAAAAAAATGCATTCCAATGGAATTCCCCCCCAAATAAATGAATAAAACGGCGAGGTGGTTCCTGCTGCTTTTTAAAATGAAAATTAATTTCAGCCAGCGGGCTCCATATGTCACCATGGCAACAATGAATGAGCGAGTGGAGGAGTTTGTGACCAGGAGCTCAGGTGGCAGAATGAAAGCGACTGGTACAACACCGGCTGATTCGAAAACCTTGCAAAATGAGGGCCTTTTAATTTATCAATGGCACTAGGTTAGAAGCACATCTCATTTTCTCTCACTCTTTCCCTTTTAATGCTCACCGTTGAATTTAAAAAAGCAGCTCTTAAGCATTTTTAAATGCTTATCTTTTTCTCTATCTCTCTCTCTCTCGCACACACACAGAGCTTCCACTCAAACGCAACAGAAACTGGACATTGCACAGACTTGAATTTTCTGCCCTATATAATAGAGCCAGAGTACTGAGTAAAACTATACAGGATATCTATAGGACAAATATGCAACCATCTCAAGATGTAAAATTCTCAACAGTATGGCTGAAAGACCCTACCAGGGCATGTGGACCCTACAAGGCATTAGAAACAGTGACGATCAAGTGTATATGAGAATATTCAATCGTACCTAGATTTAGTTTCAAATTGCTCCTATCGTTTAAGATCGCATTTGACACTATTCATATATATGGTGAAACAGCAACTTTCCGTATGGATTGTGAGAGTTACTGACTGGAGTGGAATATTCGAAGACTAAATAACCCCATGCTAAACAAGGCTTGAGTTTGATTTGGTTTGTTGCTTATAGAAGCGGAATTTGATATTCAATATTTTTAATGGGTATCAATAGAATAAAAACAGACAGAGCATGATCCACTTGACCCTGTGTAGGAGACAGTGTCTGCTTGGTTTGAGTTTGGCGCAGATAACCTGTGTGGGGAGGTGGTATAAGACCTGAAGTATCAGGGAACAATTAAGTATAATTCATACGATCTTATGCAAAGTTATGAGGGGGGCAAGAGGAGAGATTGAAAGCAAACCTATAAAAGTATCAAGACATTTAAATGTTATAGGCGCAGTACAGAGTATTCCCCATGACAGATCAAACCTAACGAAATCTGAGCAGAGCTTAATGCAGGTCAAGGGCAATGAATTGAATGAAGCGAAAACTTTTCAAATGCAAAGAATATGAAACAGTCAGCTATGAAGGCTAGAATTATGTGGAGTTGCCTGTTGTTCCTAAATTCCAGGATACAACACAAAGCTTGCTGTACAATTCCCTTTTCATACAGAAACAGGGATCCTGGCGTGGGTGAAGACCATTACTCTGCTCCGACAATGCACCTTGACCCTTATTCTTCACACTGCATGAATATCCCATGCATGCTCTTCATAATTTTTATAATATTTGGCAGTGTCAACGGAACTGGCCTGCATAATATATTCTACTTGTTGCAAATTAAATGGAACTGGAATCCTGCCAGTCTGGGTCCCTCTTACTGATGTTACGTGAGACTTGGGCAATTTTGTAATCACCACTGTGTTGCGTAAGTTAACTTGTAATTGTAGAGGAGAGCTCCATCTTCTCTTCTTGGTTGGATTGGGATCGGGGTCTTAATGATGAAAG